CTCTGAGTTTTCTAAACCGGCTTCCTGAAATAGGGCCCTGGAGTTGGACACCCCTGCCTTATTAGCATTCAGTACAAAAGCCTGGATCTCTGATGGTTTGGGGGGGGTCGCACAAGAGCTTATGGAATTTGCAGCTTGCATATCTGAAAAGCCGTTATTAATGCTGAGAGGTATTAAAAGCAATATATGGTCCCATACAGATGAAATCTTTTTCAGTGAAGACCTTGTATACTTCAGCAAGAAAATGCTAAACTGCATACATCAACAGTCCGGATCTTTAACCTACTGAAAACATTTCAAGCACCATAAAACAATAAATACGTTAAAGAAGACCCAGGACTGTTCAGCAGTTAGAATCCTATATCAGACAAAAATGGGACAACATCCCTCTCTTGAAAGTCCAGCAGTCCAAAATTTTTTCTATTATTCTATTGTGAATAATAAATAAACTACTGCAGTAATAAGGTTGTAATGGAAAGTGTATACAGATGAGGGCGACATATGAACTACCTCTTTGAGGGTTGCGGGTATCAACTTCTGCTTTTTGTGGAAAGTAAACGCAGTTCTTTTTCCAAGTTGATGGGTCTGTTCGCCTTTCTGCTCCAAAAGAACTTGGAAACACTGGTCACACACTCGAGTAAACTTGTTCTTTTTATATTCGAGAGGGAATTCATTGGAGGAGCAAGATTGGCACACAACCTGTGGAAGAATAAAGCACAAGTTTTACTTTTTTTGCCCTTCCATCTCTCCCTCATTCTGGACAGTAAGCATGTTGTACAACTGATGCCTCACCTTTCCACACGCACGGCAGTGATGTCTCCTCCACGTTTGGGTGAACTTGGAGGTGCAGACCATACACATGGAGGCCCGCTTGTCAGGGATCCATATGGGGGCTTTGGATCCCAAAGGAGCACCATCGCCAACATCAGTGCCATCCAGCTGAATATGAGTGGTACAAAAAAAAAATGAAGGCACACAGGAGTTTCAGTGGCTGCTCATACAATGTTAAATGTTGCTCACATATTGCAACAGCCGGAGATGTACTTTTTTAAGTGATCTTACCACATCTCGAGGCTTGCCAGGGGTAAAGCTGCTCGTCTTCTTGGTGTGTTCACTGATCGCTGTGGAAATCGCTTCAAGCCATTCGTCCTGTTCCTCGGCCGAGCTACAGAAAGAGAAAACAGAGCATATGTAAAAAAAACAAAAAAAACCCCAAAATAGATTCAAGAAAAACAAAAAAGAAGAACATACACTAATGAAATAAAATGTAATAACAACAACAACAACAACAACAACAACAACACACCATCTTAAATTACAAAGGCCTCTTTCATTTCTGATCATTACCTCGCGGAGAGAATGAAAGAGCGCTCCACGCTCACGATGTTCAGCTCGTTCTGATAGGCCTCTTGACTCGGTTTGCTAACCTGTAATTATTTTCACCGTGAGCCGTGATGCCAGGATAAAGATGATCTCATGATGTGAGAAAATGTGAAAATTGACAAACAGAATAAGAACGAGTTCTCACCTTCATTCCTCTGAGGGGCAGCGTGTTTTTGAACATGTACTGGCCTGACTGAACGGGTTTGGTGTACAGCAACATGTCGTTAAACTAAATGGAAAATGACATGAAACATTTTCATTCTGTCATGACCATCGAGTCTCAAATACACCAGTAATAAGATTAATGAGATCATAAAAATGTGGGAGAAATATCAAACAAATGTCGAAAGACATCTGAGCACCATGGAAGCTAAATCTATTAATCAAGCCAAGTTCCTTATATCAGCTCAACAGAATGTATGACCGCATGTTTTACTAGGAAGGGAACCATGAGTGGAGGCACATGACAGAAACACTGCTGTTCGATTGTGATTTGGTTATGAAAGCATAGAAGGAAATATCGACTATACCAGGAAGAACATTCTGGGCTGCATAACTTTCCTCGACAGCTTCATCAAGATCCCCTCTTTAAGGTATATCTGGAAAAAAAAAAAAAAGGGGGTCGGGGGGAGAGAAATCACAAAAGTGTAAATTAGCAAAAAATATCCCTCCCCATATTTTACTTTATCACTCTTCTCACTGCCTTTTCTTTATCCAGAACTTCTTCGTGCAACATGTGAAGAAAAGTACTTTGCAGAGCTTGAAGTTCATTATTTTCTCCAATTGATGGCCTAGAGAAGGTCAATATTAGCAGCCCGCCTTAATAATCACGTGGCAGCATGGTGGCTCAGTGGTTAGCAAGAACATCCTGGACTCAGGCACACTCCCGTGTGCTGTTTTCATGGTGTCCCAGTGCTTGTGTGGGAGCTTCAGTTTCGCCCATCAATAAATAACATGCTACGTTAACGCTGCCTACGTCAGCCCAGGAAACTCTTGCAAAACATATTGTTAATCTCAACTGAGGAAACATTGCGTTCCCACTTTCTCACCAAGTGGAACAACTCAGTTAAATATGCCCAAGCATAGTCAAATAAACCAGACTCTGGTGGTTACACCTGCTTGAGTACAGTATGTATCGCCTAACGGGAAACCAGTTTAGCTGCTTCAGTTTTTCCCAGAGTCCTTCATGCTGGAAAAGCGTGATGGCTCACTGGGACATTAGAATCAGAGAGACATCATCCGTGTTAGCACAACCTTTGCTTGTCCTACATTGACATTGCCTGTGTACGTACAAAATCTTACAAAAGCTTTATGACCTCACCCGGCCAGGCTGGACAATCTCATGGTTGCCAATCAGACGGCACTGGACACGGATCAAACTCTGGAAGATATCCTGAGAAAAAAAACGAGTGGAATGTGTAAGTAACGTGTATTAGGGATTTACCATGTGATTGCTTATCATGAAATTTCTATTTTGCTCTCACCCCTTGTTTCATGAAGTCATTTGCATGACTGGCCACCTCTTTCACTATAGCAAGGGCAGCTGAATGGACACAAATTTGTAATTGTCACACACATGACATGAAATATTTCCATTCCACTAACACCATCAAGAATATTTACGGATCTGCAGGTTTAAAGAAATTAATACAAATAAAGGTTATGTCGTTACCTTCTGTGTCTTTGTAGTCGTCTGCATCTTCAGGCAGGTTTTTTAGATAATCTAAAACAAAATAAAAACATTTAAGTTTTGCTATCAACAGTGTAACCACAACAAGTGATCAATAAGTACGCAAATGGGTGTTAAGGGCTCAGTCTCTATATCCAATTCCTGGAATGATTCAGAACTTAAATCCTGGATGAAAAGGTCTTCAGGTGTTTACGTAACGCAGCTATACAAGAGTGACGTGGGAAACATTCATCATATGTTGGCACTGACCGATTAACCAGACTCGTGAATCCACAAGCTCACTCTTGTTGAAGCTTATGTTATGTCACCAAATCTGATTCGGACCCTACTTCAAAAGCCTTATTATACAAGGAGTCAAGAAGGAGCACAAAAGATTTTCATAATAAGCACCAGAGGGCAGCATGATGCCTGAGATGAGACATCAAAGGCTGCGCCAACGTGTACAGTTTAGGAGTCCAAAACTACAACAGTGAGCTGAGTTTGTACTTAAGTTAAACTCACGTTTAAGTATTAAATAAGAAACATAAAAGATCTACTTCAATGACTCTTTATTTACAGGTTTACCTGTGAGTAGCAGCTGGTACTGAGGAATCCTCTGTACAGGTTTTAACAGGTAATGCTTCAGAGCCAAGCTGGCGCAGCGTGGACTAGCCTTAACAAAAAAAGAGAACAAAACCAAATCAACATTTAATGGTTTTTGTTTTGTTTTTGAAAAAGGGAGCAAAGACATTTACACACAGAACAGGTTGAGCACCATTACCTCAAATTCCCGTACTACTGCGCCAAATGCTGGATTCTTCTTAGTCTGCTCATCCAGGAGAACCACATTCCTGTCAAACTCACGAATGTATGTCGAGTACATCTTCAGATAGGGCCCCTGTTTCAGGAAAATGTCTGCTACCTGGGGATTCTCGTTCCTGTAAACAAAACAGAGCGAAAAGAAAAACACTGGTCAGTTCCTCGATCCATCTAGGTGATGATTAGGTGGGGGCATACTTTGTTTTATAGTATCTATTTTTTCTCCTATAGAGTAAATGAATAATCAAAAACATGTGAAAATATATTCTTACCCAGAGCTTGAATACTTCCTTGTGGATCATGAACAGAAAAAAAAATCACCAATGTTCTGAGTTTCCTCTTTACCCGACTAACCACACTTTCAACAGGCACTAACAGCACCACATAGGTATCGTGACTTGATTTAAGACCGTGGGCATTAGTATGGAGTTAAAACATAAAAACATCCCTCTTCCTCTGAAGACTATCAGTTATTACTGCATGGTTTAGCTCCCAATCAGCAACAAGACCACATGTAAAGCTCTCAGTAAAAAAAATAAAAAATAAAAAACTTTGTTATACCATTTAGCTATTCTTTGTCTCAGTTCGGAGAGGAGGTTTTGGTTGAGTTCGTAGAGCTGTGGGAGGGAGTACAGTATCTGGTTTAGAAGACGGTCCTCAATCACAGGCTTCCCACTCTGGCGAGAGGCTTTAGACACTGAATCACGGAAGTCCTGTTGATAGACAGATAAAAAGTCAGATGGACACAGCTTAAGCGCATTCTTAAAAGACAATTAAATTCTGTTTTATTTGCATAGTGCTAAATCACAACAGCCGCCTAAAGGCACTTTATGTTGCAAAGTAAAGACCCTACAATAACACAGAGAAAACCCCAAAAATAAAATGACCCCATATGAGGAAGCACTTGGTGGCAGTGGGAAAGAAAAACTCCCTTTTAACGGGAAAACTCCGGCAGAACCAGGCTCAGGGAGAGGCGGCCCATCCTCTCTGACCGGTTAGGGGTTAAAGGGGCAAGACAGGACAAAAGATGCACTGTCATTCTCATAAAATAAAATCAGGACCAAAGAAATAATAAATACAGAGCAGCAAACACTGAGGGTACCATTTATGGTTCGCTTTCTGTTGGTTTATAGCAACACATGGCAAATAAAACTGCCAACAGACCATGTACCCAGCAGAGAGCTCCTGTGGTTAACGTGCGATTTCCTCCTACTTTAAAAAAAAAAAAAAAAAAAACAGCTGACAGTGTAGGAGGCGGCTCACATGGTAAAGGATGTAGCAGAAAAAAAAATTAAAAGCATATACGTTTCACGAGACTACGCTGCAGACAGTCAGCGGTAACAAACGTGTGACGTTTGTTGAGAAAAAGGCCAGTTTGGTTATCTTGTTTCCATTATAACACATGGGTTAGACAAACAAAGCAGCTAAATCAAAGTAGCTTTTATTGTCTGCATTTAGATCGCGAAAACGAGAGCGTCTAAGACTATGCATTACCAGATACATCAGATAGAATACACATGCTGTGGTGAGTGCTGATGTCCGTTTGAGTACCTGACAGAGCTGGGTAAAATAGAAAGCCATTTCAACATTGCTTTGAACTTCATATGATCTGTTCTTCACAACTGTGCAATCCACGGAGACTCGAGCGCTTCCCGTGTATGCTATACAGTCATAGACGGGAGTCGTCACTCAAGGCTACTACATCTTACGTACCAGCCCTGATCAAATTTCCTCACACTTAACACTGCAATTCCTGAATATATCACATCTCCTCTTCCTGAGCAGATATGATGAACTGTCAAGAAAAAGCGACTCAACAAACAAACAGAAGCAGATGTGGAGATTCTCGTAGAGATAGGGAGTGCTTTACTTCACCGATCTAAGAGTGGGTTGGCAAAGAGTTGGTTAGACTGGTTGGACGACACATAAAAAATATTGTTCTTCCCTTCTTGTCGCACAGCAAACACTGCAGGGGAAGTACAGCATAGGAATCAGATCATTTTTTGGCAGCGGTTAAAACAACGCGACTGTGTATCATTCAGAGCAAGTATAGTGTTACAATAAGAACCTTTTATTGCCAGAAGGATGGAGAAAAGTCTATTCTGCCCTTCTATGAGGATCAAATCAAACACATATGGAGAATGTGGGCTCCGACACTAGACCAGCACTGGCTCAAATATATACCCACAGCTCTTTTCATGGCAAACACAGTGGTTGCTTTTGTTTAAAAGGTGACATGTGGAAGTACTCACAACATGAAGCAGCTTCAGGACGTCAACAAACCTGGAAAAACAAAATACAGTTATAATGGTTACGCAATCGCTGCCTCCATACAACAATACATCATCATGTTTTGTGAGGTTTTGACATACATGTGTGTCTACCCATTACAATGAAGGTGAATGGAAATTGCTTTGTTTTTTTCCAGTCAGGCGCTTACACACAGATCCTGCAAGACTCTACCATCTGTTGGGTGCAAGTGGAGCAGTGTGTCAAACATATGGCCCAGGGGCCAGAATCAGCCTGACAAAGATTCCAGTCAGGCCCGCTGGAAGGCTTTGCAAAATGTGAAGGAGTTCATAGATTTTGATCATTTAACTGTACTTTCACGTTTTACAGCTTTCCTTATGGAGAAAGACCTCCCCCACTGCCATTCATACTACACCAAAGTAGTTTTTTATTTTATTTATATAGCACATTTAATGACAACAGCAACGCTGACCAAAGTGCTGTACAGAAATACAAAATAACTAGTACCAAGTAACTTTTATTATTAGCACCAAGTACCTCTCATACTGTATTAAAAGCCAGTGGATACAAATGTATTTTTTAGATGAGATTTAAATTGATTGACAGTAGGAGCCTGTCTGATGTGTTGGGGTAGATTATTCCACAGATTAGGCGCTACGACCCAAACGCTCGATCGCCTCTGTGAACCAGCCTAGACCTTGGTATGGCTAAAAGCAAAAGATCATTTGTTCTAAGAGATCTAGAGGGCGCATAAGGCTGCAAGAGGTCAGACAAATACCCAGGAGCCTGTCCATTCATGGCTTTATAATCAACAATAACATTTTAAAATCAGCTCTGAAGTGAAAAGAGAGCCAGTGGAAAGAGGCAAGCACCGGGAAATACGTTCACATCTTTTAGTTTGCATCAGAAGGCGAGCTGCAGCATTCGGGACCAACTGCAGTCTTGCAAGGCAGGTCCGACTAATTCCAACATATAATATAGTTAAACAATACAAGACACACACCAAATGATCTGGATGATGAGCTACTAGAACTTTTTCTTTAATATTTCATGTAGAAAAACTGAGACGTACTGTTGAATTTGCACTTCTTAACAATTAAATGTTTAGTTAAATGGCTTTTTCTCCAGTCTTTTCCCCCCAGTGTGTAAGTTAATGTTGCAAACACCAAGAGAAACTTTTAATCTACAAAAACCCACAACAAACCTGAGAGACAGACATCCCAAAATCTGGACAAAATTATCCTAGACTATGTGCACACGTGGAGTTCAAGAAATGCAAATTAGGGAAAAAAAGGACACTCACACACTCTCAGAGGTCATAATTTCTTGTGCAATGTTGAATATCTTGTTTTTCTTCTTTTCACTCGCCGTCTGATGAAGACAATCAATAAAAACAGTACAGTTTGAATAAAACAGTACAGTAAATGTAGCACACACACTGCTCGCAGCAGACGTACAAGATGCAATAATAATATATTAATCTATTAGAAACAGCATGAGGATGATGCTATAAATGTTTTTGTTTTTCTTGTTAAAGGAAGGCGTGTTCTCCCCTGCAGGACTATTTTGCCTGCATCCTTGAAATTCCTGCAATGAGCAAACCCTGTCAGGATCTAACAGCTTCTGCTCCTCACCGTTTTCTCCTCTGGCTGCTCAGGGTCACCTTTACTTGAGTCAGAGCTGCTGTCATTCTCGCCTTCGTCTTCTGAGGTGGTCTGGATAAAGTCATCATCAAACGGCACCTCAAGAACAATGTCCTTTTCAAAGGAGCTTCTGTAAAAAAAAAAAAAAAGTCAGAAACACATGTTAGTCAAAGAGCAAAACAGGGACCGACAAACACAAACAGGGCAGGTAGTCTTGACACACAACTATCTGAAGGCATTTATTCTGCATTTGAAAGGCGCTGACACACCTTTAAAATACACATGGCACACGAGCGAGGGGAAGGGAATTTCAGAAGAATGAGGAAGATTTCTGATATAAAAAAAAAAACTCTCCTCAGCATTTAATCCCAAGAATTTCTTATACGGGAGCATTTATTATTAAAAGTCATAGAAATGCACACAGGAAAGGGAAGACTTGACACCTTTAAATGTTAAATCTAATTATCAATACAATCACAAGCCTACTCCTACTGCATCTTTTTACATCTGCTCACAGAACTCAGAAATGAGGCACCGTCATCGTCAGCAGTTTTAACAGGACTTCACATGAACAGCTAACAGGAAATTGTGCCAAAGATGCGCCGCATGTCTAAAATGCCACAATTCCCAGAGGATTCTCAGAAGGCACCTCCCTGAACAAAACTTACAAAGAAAGAAAGCAGACAAAGCTAAGGGTCTGTGCCCCCTTTACAACCGCTGTAGTACTTCGCAGTGAGCGGTCTCTGCTATGAGCCAACGTGTTTCCAACATGTGAGTGTTTGAACCAAAGCGCTGCGACATGCTAAGCTGTTGGAGGCAGCGTGTACAGTTACACAAACTGTAATCCTGTTATCCAGCTGACTTCTGCAAAACTGCTCATTCAAAACCAGACATGTGAAACTCTTTGCCTACTAACAGGATTACTACAAAGATTACTTCAGGGAATATACACACAGGAAAAAAATAATAATAAATTAAAAACTGGAGCCAATGAAGACGCAAACTCAGAAACATTTTTAAAAAAAAACCCCAGAAAAGAATAAAAAAGGGTCAGTTCAACAAAAGTGCAAAAAAGTACAAACGTATCTATTTAGCACTGATCTGCTTCTTATGATGAATGTATGTAGATCTGCAGAAACGGCGCAATATCTAACAGTGCAAACACAAATCTGTACATAAACAGATTTAATGCACAAATCTGTGATATTTTCTCAGCTGAATTTGTTCATAATCTGCAAACAAAGTTAGAACATGTTCAGGAACAAATAATAGAAAGCACATCTTAAAACTTTACTACAACTACCACTAATAATGTTGATGAGCAAAAATATTTCACCCATCCGTTTTCCACTGATTCAATTTAGGATTGAAGGTGGAGGGGAGACGGCAATTGTTTGGACAAGTCACTAAAATATTGCAAGAAAGCCATTTACAGTCACATTCACATCTATGGCCAGTTTAGAATCACTAAATAGCCTAAGATCATGTCTTTGGACTCTGGCAGGACGGCGGAGTACCTGGAGAGGAAATGCAAACTCCACACAGAAAGAGCGGCCAGCCCGTGGATCAAACACAGGAGCTGCTTGTTATGAGATGACAGTGCTGTCCAGCACAACACCGTGCCACGGTAACACTTTCATTAGCCATTATTTACAGTTTTCCAAAATGACAGAAACAAAATAAAACACTAATAGAATTAAATTGATGACAGAGGACAAAAATTAGATTAAATGTTAAGAAAATGGGAGCAAGAGTAGACAGTGACTCAACATATAGTAGTTTAACAAACCAATACAAAGACCAAACAAAACTCGTCCTTCACACATGACACATTTGGAACAAATGTTCCAGTTACTATGATTATTTAAGTATATCTTATCCTGGTCAGGTACTTCTTATCAATGAATGATAAGATGATGGTTGGCAATGTCGCGCACATGCTGGAGGATGTTTTTCGTTTTGTTTTTCCAGTAAGTGTATACAGTAAGTGTAAAAAAGTGTACAATAGTGCATTTTTTAAATTTTTTTAATCTTGAGCTGATAGATCGCACGCTCCTTCCTTCATTTTGTTCTGGTCTGTTCATGCAAAGTCTTTTCTATGTTTATTGTTTGACTGATTTTTAAACCCTAGTCTCCAGGAAAATACTAATCATCAGCTCTATTATCTGAAACAGTTTTGAAAGGTGTTGCTGTTTTTGTGGCTTCCTCCTCTGACACTACTGTTTCCATTTCTTCACCTCTTATTTAGTACTAACTTAATGCATCACCATCATCACTTTCTTCATTACATCTTAGTGTTGATCATGGCATGCAGATTGCAGATTATTCTAAGTCACTACAGAACAAAACTGGCCAGTGGACACGCTTCATGAATCTGACGGGAATTTTGTGAGAAGCATAAGCACGTCGCCACCCGCACATTTGTGAACAAAGGCCAGAAACTCCTTTTGTTCCCCTAATGCACACATCACTAACAGTTTTATAAACATATATACTTTTTAGCATTAGGTAGTTATAGTTGGGATTGTAGGTTTTTGGTTTGAAAACAAACAAATCCAACTATTCAGTAAAAGGACTAGATGTTGTAGTCCCTGATAATGGACTGGTAATGGATAATCATTGTAAAATGAAAAATAAAGTCTTATATTGAGTTCTGATGAAAGGTTTCCTCTTTAAGCAGCAGATTTTTTAATTCTATCACCTCCACTCTATTGAACTGAGCCTTTAAGAAGAGAAACAGGTGTCGTTTTAGCGTCTTCCTAACACCAGATAACCGCAGAGCTGCAAACACAAAGACACTGTGAAAGCGCTTCTTAAACCACAGAAATGTGGATTGCATTGATCTAGTATGTATTCTTCCCTTCTAGGCTAAAGATTGTCTCTGCCTGTAATAATAACAACATGTTTATACTTTAAATTTGTGTAGTTTAAGTCAGTGTGTCAAGGCTATGCAAGCACACCATACCTGTCAAACTACCCTGACAGGAATTAGAAAAACAAACAATGCGAAGGCCCTCTGCGCTCTTCCTTTTCGCCCTCTGTCATCAGAAACATATTTTGCAGATGAATGGGTGTTTAAAAAGAAATTTCAGGACACAATGAAGAACGTGCTGTTAAAAATAAATCAGGTTTAGAGGTAGTCGAGTCCATCAGGTCTACCTGTCACAGAGTGCTGGTGTCTGTTGGTGGTCTTTCTCCGGGGACATATATGGATCCTGCTCCTCATAAATGCCCTCATTATCATACACTGAGCTCTCCGAGGAGTCAGGGTGTAAGTATAAGCCCTGTGGGTCAGTGTAAACTGAGCTCTGCCATGGTTTAGGTTGTGAGTAGGGGTCCTGAGGATATGGCCCTGAATTTTCCACACTGGCGAAGTCTGATATCTCCTCATACACAGGGCTGTCCTCAAATGGGACAACTTCTCCTTCATTTTCTCCGTCCACATTTTGCTCAAACTCAGTAAATGGAGCGGAGAATTTACGTTCGGGACAGTTCTGCCATAGGTCTTCGTCGTTGTCAACACTTAGTTCATTATCATCGGGAGTGTAGTCTGGGAACTGGTCTTCTTTTTCCGTCTGCCTGGGTAACCTACTCTTTGATAATTTCAAGGGCTGTTTCCGGAAAGAAATTGTCTTCTGTACTTTTTTAGAGCGAATGATGTCAGCGCCGGAGAAGGACTTGGCTTTGCTCACACTGGAGCGAGAATGCCTATTAACTTCAGCTGCTGGATGGTTACCGCTTGATTTGTCAGTGGAAGGCAGAGGCGGCTCCTTCTTTTTCCCATGTCCTTCAAACTCCCTTGCTGCTCTCTCCTCAGAGGATACCTTATTCTGATTCAGCAGCTTCTTTCTCTGGGGCTTCTTTGGAGGTACTTTACCCATCCCAGTTTTCTCCGCTGTGGCAACAGGCTGGCTGAGGGCCGGCTGACTATGCAAAATGCCACAAGCTTCCTCCTCATCACCCTTTGCTTTCCTCTGAATCTTTTTATTATTCTTTTTAGCGGAGAAATCCATCTCATAAGTGCCACGGCCCCAATCGAGATGTTCCCCTTTCACGTCCTTTGGAATTGCCTGAGGAGCCGAGCTCAGTACTTTTTCGAGCTCAGACAGAAAAGGTTTTTTCTTGGGTGGAGCAGCTGGAGGGGGACAAGTTTTCACTGACGGAAAAGCTGGCAGTTTCTTTTCACTTTCAGGTGCACTGACAGACAGTGATGATGTGCCCTTCCTGTCTGGTGACACCGCCACATTTTTGGTGTTTATTTCTCTGCCATCTTGGCTTACAGACTCTTCCTTCCCCTTCTCCCCCTTTTCCTTATGGTCCTGAACAGCTTGCCTGGGTTTCTGTGGTACAGGGATAGGACTGGGCTTCCTAGGGGGAGCTGGGATTAGTTTGGGTCGTGGCACACTGAGAGCATCTTCCTCTGGTACTTGTCCAGGTACACCGTCAAGAATTCCATCATTTGCCTCATCACCCCGCGTTCTGTGAGGAGAAGTCGGCCGAAAAGCCACCTTAGGACGGGAAATATTAGTATTTACAGTGACATTTTGGTAAATAGCATGTTCGTCTTGAACAGACTGATAGTGAGTATGGGTGGGAGAGGCGTTCGTTGTTCTGAAGTATTCATTGTTTATTTTCTCTCTGCTATGATTGCGGGTGCCTTGAGAATTGACGCATGTGCAGTTGTCACTGCTGCACAGACAAATAGGAACAACGTAATCCCAGTCAGGCCTTTTGCTCTCGTGCGGCAGTCCATTTTGGGAAGCAAGGCAACCTACAGTCTGGGGGGTATCCGACGCAGATGTCTGACGTGGGCTCGTCCAGACAGGTTGCCTCTCTTCCACAGGAGTGTTGAATTTAGAGGGGCAGGGTTTGGGGGCTAGCGCCGGTTTCACCTTCATCTGCGTGCCAGGAGATGGTTGCGAGAGGCCACCTTTTCTGGGGATCAAAGGAGATTGCCGTGGACTTTCGTAGTAAGGAAGCTTTGGTTTAGGGGCCACAGGTGGCTTATGCATGCCTGGGAATAGAGAAATGAAATATATGAAGTTGGGACTTGAGGTAAAGTTATTTCCTCTGAGGGAAAACAACATCTAAATGACTGTAACCCTGACTATAATGTAATGACTGTGTTTTCTTTCACTGCTGATCCTAACCTTGGTATACATCATAAACAACCTCTCCAAGGGTTCAAATATCACATGATTTATGTTTGCCCCTCTATGTAGCAGCACATTACTCCAACTAATAGCTCGCGTCAACACGCAAAAGTGGGGGATTAGCAGGTGGGAGATGAAGAGTGGGAGAAGCAGTAAAAGGCAAGCCTGTTGACAAGCAGGGTTTTCAAGGCGTTGTTTTCAAATATTTCCCTGTTCAACAAGACACAGTTTGAACTGCTGACTGCGAACAAAATCAATACAAAACTCGAGATAATCAAATGTAACTTCATTTAGAGCTATGCTGTTTAAATGACTACCGAGCAGGCTAAACCTAAACAGGTGAGATTTATACTGTGTAGGAATAGAAAGAACAAAGAAGTACATCTCTGAGCATTTACTATTTCCCGATTAGCCATTAGAAGCTCACCGTGTTCACGTATAAACCAGAAAAGTCATCGAACGGGGAACTTACCTGAGTTCATCATCGCTCCACTCACTTCGCTTCTGTTTTTCTTTCTTTATTGTTTTCCGGTCCTTATATTAAAAATAAATAAATAAATCAGTGAAGACAAAAGTCCTTCATATCCGGATAAAGTTCAGATCGTCGATTCATAATGTGTCAAATAATCGACATTTTCTTTGATTTTAACCCGAGCGGCACACGTGATTCCGCCGCAAACAAGTTCTTCTCTCTGGCGCACCGGCTGTTGATGTTCTGCGATATGTAGCCAGCCAATAGCCGCGAGCTTCCTTTTTGTTTCCGAGGACGATCCACTAGAGGCCCCCCAGGAGCCACAGACGGCCAGAATCAATCTTTGCATCCAAATCTTCCACAAATTGGCATTATTATGAGTTGTCACACTGTAAAATCTCTTCTCCACACGGAAACAATAAACACTGACTTGTAGTAAGATTTAACGCTGGCTCATGACTGCTCAGGAATTTTGCAAGGTGCCATGCACGCATATCTTTCCTCCTACATCATCTTTTCTATTATTAATGGTATGACTAAGAAGCCAAAATTATGCCAGGAAGCCAGCAGCTCCTTTGTAACACATATTTTACGCAGAGGAAGAAATACTTGAAAAATATATATATATATTTCCCATCAGTTCCCTCCTTGTGTCAGCAGGTTGATTCTGCATTTAGTTATTTACAGGAAGTCACAAAGAAAGTCAGATGACTGACAGCTTGACTTGGTGAATAATATGAAGGATTGAATATAAATAATGGATTAGTTGTTGCTTTTTGCCATGTTTATTTGGCCAAGTCGAAACTCACTGAATCCAGAAACCTGTGGCAGATCTCTTGCCCCTGATCCATGTTTTATTTCATGGAGGAATATCGAGTGTGTGACAAGACAAGGGAAGGGAGGGCGTTTTGGTCTGTTGCTGGAATGATGCAGTGTGATTCCCGTCCCTGCAGAGGGGTTACATATCTTAAAGAAGGGAAAGTGAAGACTTAATTGATAATATAAATAAGGACTCAAGCATCATGTTATGTTTCAGTTTCATTTTTTTATTCCACAGAGAAATCCGTCCAAATTTCACGTAAATGTTGATGACAATTTTACATTGCCTTCGCCGTTTCCCTTTTCTGTGAAGGGCTCGGCGTGATGTCGTCGCCTCAGGTTAGTGCTGTGTCTGCAGCCGCAGGAGTGTTCACAGAATCACTGTGTGCAAAGATTGGAAGAACACCAGTAAAGTGTTCAGCTTTAGAAAGCCAACTTCTGTTATTTGTGGTTCTGTGGTGATGTGTTCCAGTATGCAATAACCGGTTTGATTCATTGGCTTACAGGACATCAAATCAGAGGGGATTGTGGAGTAATACCTGAACTTGTAGTCTGAAGGGAGAATCAGACCTAATCTGTAGTCTCTTCTGCTTCTGGAGATTTGCTTTTCAAGGACCCTGGCTGAGAAGCTGTGATCGCTGCATATGTAGCCCGCGAACAGCAGCTTCCCTCTGATATACATCTATCACATGAGCATATAAAAAGTACTTTACACGTCTGAAAGTGGAAGAAAACGCCTCTGCAGTCCCCCACTGCAGTTATTTTTACCCTCCCCACATGTAAAAATGTTAAGCAGGGAGGGCTTTTTTTTTTTTTCTGCAGAGAAGTGGTTTACAAAAACGTTTCACAACAAAGGTCATACATCATGAGGTTATTTTTAAGCTTTAGATTTCAACACAGATTGGCGTTGATGCGACACCACATCCTGTTATTTGTAATGTATGTGCTTTCAGAGTTTCTGAGTAGGGCCTGCTGACCTACATTATTTAAGTGCTGACAGTGTGTCATGTGACTATAACTCAGACCTTTATGTTTGATAGTGAAGGACGTTAGCAAACGTCACTGAAGCAGTTGTCATTAGAGCTCCCTTTTGTATTTCCTACTTTTAATACTTTTAATACTTTTACAGGAATGTTTGGACATCAGGGGAAAGTAGTGGAGCGGTGCTTGTTGCTGCCACCCAGTGGGGACCATGAAGGCGTGCACTTTGCATAGCATGCAGCTTTTGGACAAGTCTGCAGTAGGTTTACTGACCAGGACCGTGCCGGGAGCAGCTCTGTGTCGCTGGCGCAGCAGGATGTTCTTGGATTCGTAGCAGGGATTCTCCATTTCTATTTCATACCTCACCACACGAAAAGAGTCCATCTGACACTGGATTTTAAGAAAAAAAAAATCAACCTGTTACTGAATCTGACTGGCTCTAAGCAACACTGTTTTCACCCTTGAAAATGTGCCTCAGTATCACTAACATAACTCTTATTTTGCCTAGATTCACACCTGAGTGCAAGGCGATGTTCTGTGTTTGTTCTTCCTCCTGTAAAGATACTCCAGCGAGTCCTGGCCAAGCGTTGCGTGCGTGTCGACAGGCTGACGTGGACAAGTCACACACACAACAAGGATCTGTTGACTCTGTGGAGGCTGGCCCATAATGAGAGCATCATACTCCAGGTCTGTCACTACCGGCATTAGTTTAGTGCTGCAGCAGCAGCTCCTCCGCTGCCCTTCCCCCAGCAGTGCCGCTCTGAGTAGATCCGGGCACACTGTGAGGGGGACAGAGGGGGGGAACGGTGCCACTGCAGGAAGGAGGGTGACGGCGGACATCTGCAATTCGGGATTATTTGGAAGAAAAACTGACCTGGGAGACAGGGAATCTGATGTTTTATAAGGCTACTAAAACATGTAGCAATTGACTTTTTTCATCAAACTAGAGCGTCTGGTCTTACTCTGGTTTGATGCTCCCGTAAATCCGAAGGGGTCCTAGCTGCGTGAATCCACGTTCCTTCTTTTCAGGCTTTCTAGGTGTCCTGACAACAAACAGGTCAAAAAAAAGTTAAACTGTTCTTTAGTGTGCCTTTCAATAATGCAGCAAAGATCTAGTGCAAGTGTAGCACAAGTGAAGCACTGAAACTGCTCTGCAATCAGCTCAAGAATAACTAAAGCAGGTGCCGTTATAACTCGCTGGTTGAGCAGGTAATCCATACACTGTAAAGCAGTTTTTGTCCCCGCTGGCCTCTCGGCTAAGTCCATCATGAAAAATACATATTTTAAAATCTCAATGAGACTTTTACCTGGATAAATAAATAATATATATAAATTCTCTTTAGTGTGTTTACTTGGTTAAGTTATCCAGAGTAGAAACATCCAGATATCGCTGTATGTCACATCATTTTCACACATCCACTGGAGCACTGAGCCCTTCTAAATGTCGCCCAGTGGAGCTGTATGTCGGGAGGAAAATGTCCAACTCATTAAAGGTTTTTCAAACTGCTACATCTTCAGGGTGAAGACTGTGTAATGTTTAATTTCATCTCTGTGAGAGTAGCGAAGGTATTTGCCCAGTGAATTTACAGAGCACTATTGGGTGCCATGTGTCCTGTTTCTAGCAGTTTTGGAAATCGACTGAAGAGCAAAATCTCCTGAAAATGTCAGAAAATGTCCTGACCTGATCCTCCTAACATAACATTGTTCGGAGTTTGTGTGTGGAAATGGCTTTAGCGTGCACCTAGGCAGGACAACGGGAAAGTCCGGCGCTCTTTCGGCTGATTGCGACAGGTGTCCGTGAAGCTCCCGAAACTCATCTCTGCTATCCTCCGGCTGGACAGGGTTAGCATTTACTCGTTCAGGTAGCTTCACAGAGGGCAGAGCAGCTGACTGTGCCTCTTTTCTCGGCCTGGTCCTCGGTGGGGCATCTGGCATCCGCTTTGAGCCAGGACACTTGATACCTGAAGGAGAGGAAGAGGTCACTCGGAAATGCACACAGATACAGAGTTGCACAGATGACCGTGAACAAGATCCTCATGGAACTATTCAATAATGTCGAGTTTGCAGGATAAAGTGATCCTGTAACTTTTTGCTTCATTGAACTATTCCAAGCAGCTCCGACCAGGTCAGGTTTTCTTGATGTTACAACCAGCTGTTGCAGTTTTATCACATGTGGGGAGAACAGGGTGAATGTCAGAGAAGCTAGAGAGGCTATGTTTGGAAGCTGTGAGCGTGTAAGTACCGACAGCCACACGATAACAGTCCAACCAATCTTCCACGGTTTTGTGTACTCTTTGCTGAAGCCTGATCAGTGTCCCGCTAGGATGACCTCCTCTTTTCCAGTGTGCTGACGACTCCTCCTGCCTCTTCCCTTCTCTCACCATCTGGAGAGCATCCCGAGAGCGCACCGACTTCTGCCACACAACATTATGTGCGCATGGTAGATTATGTTATGTAAAGCATTTAGCTAGCTGCTCTATACACAGTAACCACCGGCTATTTGTGCACAAACGCACTGGTGGCTATTAAGCTAACTGCTCCTCTTTATCTAATCAGCTGTTTGATTCACTCAGTGTCACTTTTCCACTCAGACACAATCATCTGATCATTAAAAGTGTCTTACATGTGTCAGTGGGGGATACAGGAGGTCTTGAGCAGCATCAGAGATAAACGCTTCCCGAGTCTTCAAATAAGACTGCAAATGCAGAACTGATATTACAGAGAAATATTTTAGCTTCCTCAATATCAAGGTGAAAAACAATGTAATCTTACTGTTTCCTTTGGCTGATTAAGGTGAGACCGAGCAGAAAGCGGAAGCTGGGCGGTTTCATTTTCACACCTGAAGGTGAGCACTGCAGACGTACCGCTGGACAGACTCACAGACACGTGATCAGAAATCTGCAGGAGACAAGCAAACACTTTTATCGGTTATTAGAAAACGAAAACCCTAAAGAACAGCAAAGTGGCATAAAGAGTTAGCAAGTCCTCCTGTCTGCGTCGCCTGAAACGATCCAATCTAAAGCAAAAAAAACCCTGCAGACAATAAAATATGAATCTCTACGTCCTGTCAGCGACAGTTAGTGTTGCTGGGATTTATGCTTGAGTAGGAAATCTACACCGTAGCTACATCGTAACCGCAAACCCCACTGAAACCCTACAAAGTGAGCTGATGTGCATGAGAGTGGATTATATATCCTGAACCCTAAAGTATAACATTGACAACAAAACTCCCCCATCATATTTTTATGATTTTTTTCCAAGTCTCTTGTGGTTATAGTACCATAACATATGATTTAGCATATGTAATTCCAAAGGCAAAAACCACAGGGACCAAAAATCATTTAGATAGTTTGCTAAAAAAAAAGTAATATTCATATTTATTTTCAACTTAGTAATTTTTTTTAAGGTTTTTCAGATGTAAAAGCATTCTTGCCTAACAAAATGAGGAGTGCTGCATAAAATGTTTTTATTATTTCATTGAAATTCAATTTAAAAAAATCAATCAGCTGCCTCCCCAGAAATATAAGTACACACTGTACTGCCAGTTCCTCCTGTGTGTCTCTGGCTACTTTTGCTCCGAATTTTTCAGTTTATTGATGAGAGAATAGCAACAACAACATCGAGAGGAGATTAATTCGTAGACCCCACCTGTATTGCAATCTTTTCCCTGTGATATGTCTTCCAACTCCACTTCTTAGTTTTGTTTCTGTAAATATCGCACATGAATCCACCGTTCTGGTCCCACAGTGCTGTGACGGCTGAGCTGCATTAACAATTACAAAAGATTTAAAACAAACAGGCGAAGCATGTGCAACAGAATTTTGTTATACGTGTATTTTTACATGTTACTTCACATTTTTCAGTAAGAAAAAAAAATGAAAAGAATGGAAGCCACCTGGCATGCACTCACCTGAGAGGATGCGTGACGGCCCCGCGCCCAAATGCTGTAATAGTCGCGAGGATGGTGGGAAATTGGCTGTCAGTGAACACATTGGTATAGAAGCCTCCGCAGGGCAGGCCTGAGTGACTCTGGCACACTGCCATGCAACCAGATGGGTAACTGAGGGGCCACAATTACAGGTCATAAGGTCAGCAGCAGTGACACATTTTCCATATGCCCAAATCCGCCTTTAATTCTGGACACTCATTAAAATTGAAATCTTTATGAATAAACATGATGAGAAAAAGATGATACTATATGAATGAGGAGCCATCGTTGATCCTGTAGTGCAGTTTTTGCCGGGCAGGATCCTGCTGTTTCACTTCTGGTATCTGTGGCATCCCGTTGACTAAAGAGGAAGGATGGTCCTTTCTTCTCCTGCGTGTCACGTTAGCCTTCGTATCCCCATAGTGACGGAGGATAAGCTGTTCGTTCGGATCCAGCTCAGTTGTTGGCAGTTTTCTACGTTAAAAAAAATACGGTTAAGTGTAAACGTTTTTGGACAAATGTGACTTTTGTCGTTTTCGTGTGAGTGTTCTTGACTAGGTTAGATGTTGTGAAGGGTTTTTTTGAACCATGGAAATAAGCCGTCATCTTTTGGTGTTGTTATATTTGTTGATTTTGCTACTCCTAAAGTTTTTGCTCCGTCTCTGATAGGTTTGTTTTTTCCCCATCTTCAGATGGCCTTCGCTTTTACTGACCTTTCTTTGGACCTCATATTGAGAATTTAAATGAAAAACTATCAAATGCAATTGCATCATTTGAAATCAACTCCAGATCTTTTATCTGCCCAATTAGTCATGAGATAAAGAGGGAATCGACCTCATTTGACCATCAAACTACTGCCAGTCAATTGTCTAATCACCTTTGAGCGTCTGACAATGGTAGACTGTATAAAAATGTCCATTGTTTCCAAACAGTTTATGTGCAACCTTTGTCAAACCCTTTGAAATAAAACTAAAAGTCAGCCCTTCAACCACATATTGACTGTTTGATTTCAGATCCCCTGTGTTGTGTACAGAGGCAAAATTACAAATAAATGTGTCACTGTCCAAAAGCCTATGGACCTTAACGTATATTAAACAATGCATGTGAAAGTACTGGATTATATTGCTTTAACCAGATAAGGATTTCAGTAACTGATGACCAAATGTAAAATAGCCTGAAATTCAATCAAAATGGATTCATCAGATCAGCCGACCAACAGGATCTGATCATTTGGAAATGCAAATGCTATTAATGCAGAAACAGACGCTGACAACTCACTCTGGATCTTTTGCTCCCTGCAGTCGCTCCACCACCCACTGATACAAACTGATCCTGTTCAGCACATCACTGGAGGCCTGATTAGGCTGAGCGATCAAACCTGCACACAAAACACACGACACAGCGGAGGCAGTGACAGAGTCATCTACGCAGTGCTGCAGCTGCATGTCATACCTGCATGTTTACACTTACTGGATGAGATGGAGGGAGTGGCTGCTGTGGAGCTGCGAGCTGTTTAAGAGCAAGAATGTGAAACTTAGTCTTAGAAGGATTATAATACAATTTCCAAGCAATTTCACGTAAATGCACTCCAAACTCAGAGTGTGCAATGCTCAGAGAAACTGCAAAAAGAAAACAAACAAACAAACAAACAAAAAAACAACAACAAGAGCTACATCTCAGTTTCTACATGCCTCACAAAAGAAGACTGAACAAGTATGGGCTGTTGGAAAGGTCCAATTTGGGGGGGGTTAGATGGATACCTTCCTGGTATGTTATCTTCCCTTGTAGTGTTTTTATGGCCACAGAAATGTGCCTGAAATTATTTCTTTTACCTCTACTGCATCTTGGCTCGCTCTTTTTCACATGTGGGTTTAGTTTGGCTCGCGACTTTCTCCCTGTGAAACCAGCACTTCTTGCTGCGCACGGGTTCTCCTCTGCCGTTTCCTCCCGGCCGCTGGCTGACACCTGGCGGGGAGGTTGCTGCAGCTTCGGGGAGCCCACAGACTTCGGTAGCTTGTCAGTCAGTTTGGGACTTGAACGCAGCGCCCCTGCAGTCAGATCGTGCCAGGAGCAGTTCAGAATATTTACAACCCCGTGAGGAAGACGCCTCTCATCAGCCCACCTATGCTGCCAAAGCAGGCGAGCCAATTCATTTAATAACTGAGGCGCTGCTTGCTTGTATGCCTCGATCGAACCGTTCAGGGTTAAAGCAGACGATGTGCCAGGTTTATCGCCTTCTTCCTCCCTTCCCTCGTTCTCCTCCAGATTACTATGAGAAAATAAGACAGGTTATTTACAGTAAACCACGTTTCCTTCTCCTCCTCCTTTTTTCGGATGCTCCCACAGCAGATCATCTCTGTCAGAATGTGCAAGCCTCTAATTACCTTCGTATCCTGCCCTCGAATTGTGCTCCTCCATTTATCACACTCAAATGTAAAATGTTTCCTCGCTCTCCTTTAACTCGATTTCGTCCTGCTGGCTGCAGAGAGGCAAGTGGACGGTAAAAGTTGTGCTCCTTCTTTTAAACTACACAGTCAGCAAAACGCATCCTCACCTCACCTGATCAAAGAAATAAAAGGGCCCCCGTCTGCCTTCTGTCCCACCAGAAGAACTCATTTCCCGTTACAAAGGGAGAAATCCCCCCACACTGTATCTCTTTGCAGCAAAGCAAAAGTAACCTAGCTGAGAAAAAGTGCTTCAAGATCAACATTTCGCTCCAGCAAATACCCCCCTCTCCGTTCATGTTCTCGCCTTGTTGCTTGGATACGCACTTCTCGCGTTACGCACGTTAATGATCGACTCTGGGCATCAAATTGAATCTGTGACAGTGCAAACAACAATACGTTACTCTCAATAACAGATAAGGTGTCGAGCGTTTGGCAATGTGGACACACAAAGAGAAAGAAAGGGCGCGCAGGTTGATACCGAGGAGCTGCAGCAGTCAGGTGTGCGCTGGGCTGCCAGGTAACCTGAAACTCAGCCGCTGGACGATCGGAGAAAGTGATGAGTCCAGCACAGTGCAGCTTTTAAAGGCCACACACCGGGACAGGACTGTCACATACATCTGAGCATCACAGGAACTGTGAGTCCAAACAATGTAACTCTAAAAATCTGATGACGATTGAAACTTTTTTTTCTTTTCTTTTTTTTTTTTTGCTGCTTGGCGCACAGGAGGATCGTCTTCTTCTGTTCTGGTTAAGTTGTTGCATAGAGATCGTCTAATAGCTCGTTATTGGCTGAAGCTCCCTCCAGCACACTTTTCTGCTTTGACCACTGGAGGCTCCCAGCAGCTTATGCGTCACTTCGTCTCTTAGCCGCTGATCATGGCGGAGCTACAGTTCCAGGCTGAAGTGGAGCCTCAACTTCTCAATGGGGATGACTTGAACGAGGAAAGAGAAGAAGCGGACGCCTCGGAATCGGTAAAGAAAAAAAGAAGAAAGAAGAAGAGGAGCAGAACCACAGCGCCAGGTAAGGAGCGCATTTTGCGGTTAGAGGATCCTAGGAAAAAAAAGAAAAAAAAAAAAAATGTTCCCCTTACTGCTCGGTGTTGTGCAGAGCATTAAGTGTACTGGACATGAGACTTTTTCAACCTGTCAGAGGGTATTCCTGTCCAGATGTCCCAACTCTCAGCGGCTGCTGCTGAAGCTGAGGGCGCTCATCTGGAAACGGGACAGACTCCGAAAATGAAATGTAACGTCAAAAATGGATTGGAAGCTGTCACTTGAAGATATGAGGGGAATAAATGTAACTTGCCCAGATTAAATATGTTTGATCCTATAATTCTCCACATAATCTGCGTGAAATTATGTAATAGACCCACAGTTGTAGTGCAATACGATGACATGTTGCCAGTTGCAGCATTACTGCTTCATCAGCAGTAAAATCCCAAAAGGTTAAGTTGCTGAAGCTGCCCTAAGTCAAGCGTGGTCCTCACAGCTCTGTCTATGAAGGGCTAAATGTCATAATGCTGCAAGCTGCATATGCCCTTGAGGATACTGACTTCTCAAGGCAAGAAATTATTCACACATCCTGCCAAGTTCAGATCATGGTAGATGCACTTTCTTGAATGGACTCTGAACCACAGATAATTTACTCCCTCTGTGTATGTGTGTGTGCGTGCATGCACGTGCATGTTCACCTGCACATGCATGCACGGCATTGTGTGACTTTGCAGCAGGGACAAGCGAGGCTGAGGGGGATAGAGACGCCGGAGGTGTTGGTGATGTGACAAAACAGTTGGAACAGCAAACGCTGGAGGACAAAGAAAGGGCCGAGGATGGAGAAGAAGGTATCTTCTTATTACAGCCGCCCACTATCAGCATCATTGTCTGCAGCGGTCATGCTGCTGGACTTCAAGTCCCAGAAAGTGCACTGTGAAATTCAGCTGATCATATCTGCAATGTGATATTTGATTTTCAGTAGCACTCCGGGAATTGTGCCCAAACGCCTGTCGATATTTCTCACTTTGCAAACTGTATTGAAACTAATGATGCTTTCAACAGATGGGGACGAGGGAGAGAACTCAGCTGGAAAAAAGAAGAGGAAGAAGAAGAAGAAGAAAGGATGTAAGCTATTTTTTTTCCCGTAGCGCACCAAAATGCACCAAGAATTTAAATTCTTCACTCAGCAAGAGGATTTTTCTTATTGTTTGTTCATTTAAAAAGCAAACACACGCACACTTAAGATATTAAGTAGATATGTAGCATTTGTTGATAGCATTGAAAGATCGTTCAGTAAAAGCTTTGCGGTTGTGTTTGAGCATCGGCGTGTATTCGAAAACAGACGTCACTGCGTTGAAAGCGCTTTGGAACACCAGATGATTGCAAACAGAGCACAACAGCAGTTTGTCTTTTTTAAATCCATGTCATTAGTCGTCAGTATTGCAACATGCAGTCGGACAAAACTGCATGTTGTTCAGACAGGACGATATGAATGACTTCCCCAGCACTGTAATTCTCTTGCTGTACCAGAATGCCAGGCATTGTTCTCTTAAAGTCAAAATATCAATGTCATGAGCACAAGGGCTCATAACTTGTTAACGTGTTTTATTTCCCCTCTCCTGCTGCTTTTTCCTCTGCTCCGCCTTTTCTGTATCTGGGCCACAGTGAAGGGACAGACTGACCCTCCCTCAGTCCCTATTTGTGAGCTGTATCCCAACGGAGACTTTCCAAAGGGAGAGGAGTGTGAATATCCCCCATCAAAAGACGGGTGTGTGTGACCTCTACCTTGTTCCTTCCGTCTTCCGTTATGTGGCATTCCTACATTTAACTTAGGTCCCACTTTCCGCCTATCCATACAGGCTATAATATACTAATTGATCGTGTTTCCAGTAAAGATGTAAATCCATTCTCTTTTTTTTAGTATGTTTTGCTGCAGTTAAAAATATCAGCACTGTTTTCACCCGTGCAGTGTTTTTTTTTCAGGGAGCATGTGTCATAGCCTCATTACAAACATTTGTATAATGAGAAAATAATGAGTGCCTCCTCTCCGTGGTGCTCCCCTGCACCCACCCCCAGGCGCAGCGCAGCGTGGCGGACCACCAGCGAGGAGAAGCGGGCCCTGGACAGGGCTAACGAGGAAATGTGGAATGATTTCAGGCAGGCGGCCGAGGCACACCGGCAGGTCCGTGCGTATGTCATGAGCTGGATCAAACCAGGGATGACCATGATAGAGATCTGGTGAGAAACACGCTGATTTGTCTTTGAGAGTTATTGATATGGTCTGAGAAGATGAGAATGTTATTAAGACCTTGAAAGAAAGGGAGGATCTGCTCCCACCTTTTCTCCTCTGAATGTTTTACCTGGCTTCTCTCTAACATCTGCTGCCTCTTTGTGTTTCTTTCTGCTTCTGTCAGTGAGAAGCTGGAAGACTGCTCCAGGCGGCTCATCAAAGAAGATGGCTTAAAGGCGGGCCTGGCTTTCCCCACAGGCTGCTCCATCAACCACTGCGCAGCTCACTACACCCCAAACGCCGGAGACCCGACTGTGCTGCGCTACGACGACGTCTGCAAAATTGACTTTGGAACGCACATCAACGGTGAGAGCTCGCTAATAACTTTTTAAGTGCTTTTTCAAGTTACGGTCTCCCATTCCCCATTTGGCACGGTGGAGTGATGATTGCCTTATGATTCTGGCCGCCTGGAATAAACTGTTCTCATAAGTTAATTAACGTCCTCTTTTTCTGGATGAATACATGCTGAATGTTTCTGCAAAAAAAAAAAAGTGTAAAAAAATGAAAATAATTAGCCGCTGCCGGCACTAACCAAACTGTTTGGTATTTTCAGGTCGAATAATAGACTGTGCCTTCACCCTCACTTTCAATCCAAAGTACGACCGACTGCTGGAGGCTGTGAGAGACGCAACCAACACTGGCATCAGGGTAATAGGGCCCGTCCTCCCATGCACCGTGCTTACACAAAGACTTGTGAAAAGAAACGAGAATCATCAAACCAGATCACAGTTTAGGTTATAATTCATATCTAGTCTGAAATGCAACTGTGATAACGGGTGACGATAACTCTGAAATAACGGCACAAATCATAACGTACAGTGGCGTGTAATAATTCAGGGTGACATAAAATGTGCACGCTGTTGAATTCCTGCCAGCTGCAGGGGACACACGGTTAAAATCTGATGTAATCTTATAGTGAGAAAGCATAAAAGCAATCAAGTGTAAAATAGAAATGCATGGATATACAGCAACTGAAGAGCGCATAACGCAAAAAAACGAGAATTTATATTTTTTTATTAAACATGTGGCTGGAAAAAGATGATGTCTCACTTAAATGTGACTACTTTGGTACCTGATGTTACCTGATGATGCTCAGAATGGATATATTAAGGCTGTCAGTATACGATTCACTTATTCAGAGTTAGTTCCCCCTCAAAAATCAGAAAAAAAAGAAGTGGGATGTGATTCTTACTCTCCAGACCTTCAGTGTGCGATGGATGGCGTGTTATTTACTGACGTGTGTGTGCAAACTCTGATCTGTCCCAGTTCGCCGGAATTGATGTGCGCCTGTGCGATGTTGGCGAGACCATTCAGGAGGTGATGGAGTCTTATGAAGTGGAGATAGATGGGAAAACATATCAAGGTAAAATAAAAATGATGCCATGCTTCATCCTTTTTAATCACGAACAAGGCTTAGAGCTGCTTCCTGTTTATGAAACCCTCTGTGTGCCGCTCTCTTGACAGTGAAGCCGGTAAGGAATCTCAACGGCCACTCTATTGGACAATACAGGATACACTCAGGGAAGACGGTCCCTATCGTAAAAGGTGGAGAAGCCACAAGGATGGAGGTTTGTACACCATTTACCACAGATTACACGTGGATTAGACTGTGGGGCCCAAATTAAAAAACCGCAGACCTCTTTTTTTTTTTTTTTACTAAAGCGTTTGAAATTAAACCTTTTCCACCTGACTGACCTTGCGTGAATGCAAATGGACCCTTTTTAATTTTTAAGTGCAACTGGACGAACATGTGGCTGGTTAGGGTTACGACGGGGTCTGGAGAAATGTTCCAATTCGCCGCTTTAACAGCTTCTCGGTCACCCTCCTAAGCACCTTAATTACACTTTTTAATGGAATTAGCGGCCCCATCGAGTTGCAACACGTGTTAGCACACCAGCCACTCGTTTCAATCGTGGGCATCAAGAGTTCATTAACGGGGCCAAGGAGAAAGACGGCTTCGCATTATGCAGGGAACTAAAGTGAGCCTGTGCCTGGCTGCACAGCTGTGGTGCATGGCTGGGGGTTTTTCTTGGACAGAAGTGGGCATTTTAATTGGGAAGTTGCTGCGTCAAGCCTTTCACCTGATGGTTCCAGGAGAGTTGAGGAGGGGTTGATGCTGATGTGGCAGCTTTGTGTATTGTATTTTTAGCTAAAGTGTGTTGGTGTAAAAGGGCAATTACCCTCTTTGTGATCAGAGAGTGGCAGCTGGGTGTGCCACGGGGACTGCTAGCACTTTGACTGATTATCGGTGCAGCGAGAAAGGGCGTCTCAGTGCTATCAGCTCGTACCACGGGGGACTCCGACAGCAGTCACGTGCTGATAGAGACGCAAAGTGCCAGTGAGATCCGACCAATCAACAGCTGAAAAGAGCACTACCGCCCTTTAATAGACTCCACACGAATATGTCATCGGCTGACAACTTGAGGTTTTTGTTAAATTTGCTCTCAGCCTCCCCTCCTCCCTCTAAAGTGCTTTTGTCCTATGAGTGCTCAATGACACCTGCCCTGCTCTAACAGTCTTTCATTTCTGCACTTTAAAGTCCTCGTCTCTTTTTGCTTTTTTTGCTGCTTCTCAGGAAGGTGAAGCTTATGCCATCGAGACATTTGGCAGCACTGGAAGAGGCGCTGTCCACGATGACATGGAGTGCTCGCATTACATGAAAAACTTCAACGTGGGACACGTGCCAATAAGGTTTCTGTTTTCACCTCATCGCCTCGTGCTTTATGTTTTTATACGGTGGCTTTCTTCAATCTCCAGTTTGTCACGTTTCTCTCACCTCTCTTTCCGGGTCGCCACCAACACCGCAGACTTCCGAGGGCTAAACATCTGCTGAACGTGATCAATGAGAATTTTGGCACTCTGGCATTCTGCCGCCGCTGGCTGGACCGCCTGGGAGAGAGCAAGTACCTCATGGCGTTGAAGAATCTGTGCGACCTTGGCATCATAGACCCGTACCCACCTCTCTGCGACATCAAGGGCAGCTACACCGCCCAGTATGAGCACACCATCCTACTCAGGCCCACATGCAAAGAGGTGGTGAGCCGGGGCGACGACTACTAAGCATGCGTCAAAATCCACAACGAACCAGGAGACGACAGACTTCTTCAGACTGACAGCAAATATGCAATATTTCTCTGACCTAAATTTCCAGTGCTTGAATACCTTTAGATAATTGTTTTAGCAAAAAAAAAAAAAAAAGACTCTCATGAAGTTAGCTTAGATAGTTTTGTTTCATTTTTTTTCTCTCTCTCCAAAGGATCAAGCCAATAGTAAAAAGGGCATATCTTTAACTGATTCAGCGTTGTCATTTTAGCTTTTTTTTGATGTGCTGCTTTTAGATAATATGCAAAAGAGATTTATGCAAAAGAATCATGCAAAAAAAAGGAGGTTTAGGTGCTCGCACCTTGCCTGAACATGCTGTGCTTTATTGCCTTGTTAAGCTCATGTGAGGAAAACGAAACCGCTATCAAATATTTCTACTTCTACATTTCTTTGCTTTATTTTAATTTGAGGCAGTTTTATAAGAAATAAATTGTTATAAATCTTGCATCCAATGCTGCATTCAAGTTCATGGAGCTCTCTGGCAGCTCTAGAGACATCACCGATACACAGCAGTTTTACAGTTTATTAGGAAGACTACTCCAAAACCTAATGCAGGCTGTGCTGCAGTGCTGAAACCTGAGGAAAAACCTCCGTCTTAAGAAAGAGTTTGACCAAAAATAAACATTACAACAGTGAATGTTTATTGTTTCCACTTATATTGCTCCCTCTTTTCTTAGCTAGTAAGCAAAAATGTCAAATGATGTCAAACTTTAACCACGTACATGTGTATTTCTCTCTTTTAACCAACGGAGGGCGGTACTCAAACATGGGTTAAATATCAGTCAGCCACCTCTGCTGGTGAAGATGATGCAGTAAGGCACATCAGGCTGTTTATTCATAGCCTGGTGCTTCTGCATAATGTGACCGAGGAATGAAACCGATTTTTCCCAGAAGCATTAAGAATGAGCACACTGATGTTTAGTTTATGCAGTTTAGATGAAACAGAACGGACAGGACACAGAAACAGCGTTGCAAGCATCACGATGACGACAGAGCACATTAATTCACCCTAAAAAATTTAAAAAAATCACCACCTTGTCCTCTAAAAGAAAATTTCCAGTCCATTTCTCTTATTTTGGCAAAGTCTTTCAGACAAGGGCATGGGTGATGATGCTATGGCTGAGGAATGCATCGTGTCCCCTCATACAGTTTGTCCTTTCTCCTTGGAGACAGCAGACCAGGCCTATTCTTAACCGGGGGCTGGCTCTAAAGTGGCTTGTGGACTCCGGATCTGATACACTGTGATGTCCATTAATACCCCGGCTTTTAATACATATTTATTTTGAGGCAGCAGGAGTCACAGGCCAAAAAGAGAAGCATATGTTCAGAGAGCATTTGCAACACCCAAACACGCACCGCCTCCTGCAGGGCTGACTTAAGGGAGGTCTTGTCAAGCGAATCCTCCTCATGTGGAAGCAGGTCTTCCAAAGAAGGTGAAATCCTTTCGTAGCAAGCTGGCTATAAGAGCAAACAAATCCCAAGTGTTTTAGCCTGTTGTATGCAGAGAGGGTTTTGTTCTCATCAGTCAGCAGGGGGGCGAGTGGCCCAGAGTAAAGTGGAGCTGCTCAGATTTAAGCCGTCTGATTCCTTTAATGTTTTTTCATCCTCTCCCTTCATCCCGGAGTTACTTGTTCTGACCTGCACAGTCCCAGACTCACCACCAAGGACATCTAGCATATGTACTCTTCCACACACGCTGCCTGATGTTTACTCGTTCATGATTTATCGGCAATATCTGTGTGACGACACGGATCATTCAGTCTGTGCCTTTGCGAAATTTCAAAGTAAACAGTCTTCCATAAAGTGGATACAGCAGGACGCGACTGTTTTTTGGCTCGTGAGCTCCGACAGCGAGGAAATCGAGCCAGGAAATGAAGTATAATTGAGTATTTAATATGCACTTCTTGCTGCTTTATAAATAATCTTGAAAGTTTTATGAGCTGAGGCACAGCATAACAGGAATACAATTCAGACAGCTTTGTGCGGATGAAGGTTTTTACGGTCTGCTTTGTTCTCTTTGATCCTACAGTGACTGTAGTCTGGAAGGTATCTGCTCTCACATGCTTATTTTTATCACAGGTTCACAACCTCAGTCCTATAGCTTTTTCCCCCTTTTGTTCTGAGACCATGGACCGTGGAAAAAAAATAAAAGAAATAGGCAGTGGTTTCACTTTCATGTCCAAGTGAGGCCTAATTCAGACAGTCCTGCTGCCAGCTGCGTCCACTGCACTTCTCGGCGGTTCCCTACCAGTGGCCGCAGTGTTTTCTGAGGATGTGGAGGAGTTTGCGTCCGAGGCTTGCCTTCCAAGGTTTAACAAAGCTCTTGGTGTTAACAATAAGTCGGCCTTTCTTCCAGTCTTCATGACCAGCCACCACATACTCAGATCCTATAGTGGAGAAGGGGGGAAAAAAGCAATGTGTTTCAGATCTGCTGAGAATGCCACTACAGCAGGGTGAAGAAAAAAGAGAAAAAAAATGACTATGGAAATGTACATCATTTAGCTATAACAAGTTAAATACCGCGCTTCCCTGGCTAGCTTAGCAGAAGCGATTATTGTGGAGTGTTAGACGTGAAATAGTCTCATAACAGAGAAGTGTGTCTAATCTTTTAGTTGTAAATGTCCAATTTAAATGAGTAATGCTTGGATGTTGGCACTCACTCAAAGCCTCTGTGAGAGGCGACAGGGATCTTTCACTCTGCACAAAGCCGGCACTCTTGTGCACTCAAGAGTCGACTAATTATACACTTCTGCATCGTGAGCAATAAAGTTTCTCATTGGAGCCGGCTGCAGCTGACCTGGGTTGAGGATGGGGCAGGTACAGCCGTGGGTGGTCCAGGACTCTGGGTAAAGGGTAACACTTCCCCTCTGGATCTTCATCTGAGGGTTCTGATACAACACCTTCTTGACCTTGACCTTCACCTCTGCGTGAGAGCCTTTGTCGTGGGCTGACATCACCTTTGCCACCAGTACTGCCGAGGCAAGAAAACAGCGATTTAGACCAAAAGAAGTAAACAAATAATAACCATGTGAGAAACATTCTAATCGTTTAGAATATAAGTGTTGACTAATAGTAGTACTAATAAGGCTCTAATTAGAATTTTCTAACGTGTTTTTTGGTTCTGAAGGAACATTTCCTCACATTTATGAAAATATGTTCTTTTTAAGGCATGTAATTTAAGATATGGGGTGGTACCTGTGGTCAGTCAGATGTGCCATAATCATGAAATGTTTAACCTGCTAGCTCCGTAGACAAAGTCCGCACGATGTCCAATTTTACTGATTTGCATGGTGTCTTGCGTCAAAGGTGAAGGTAATTATCTAGTGAATTCCCCCCTGAGCCATCGGGTGTCATATGTCCTGCCTTCTGCACATTCTTTCCAGGTAGCAGCCTCACCTAACCCAAACTGATCACTTCAAGTCAGGAGAGCACGTCTGAAGCGGACTTTGTCCTACTGTGTGCTCCCTGTGAGACAGGACCTGATTATCTTGACACTGTCCACAGGTCATGTGCAAAAATGATTTAAAATATGAGACCCTAACCCTATCCTGGCCTCAAGACATCAAGCATTTCATTATAAATCATTCAGATTGTTAAGATTGACTCTCACAGGTTTACAATAAATGTAAACATTTTTTTTACCATAGTCAAACTCTGCAGCACAGAAGAGTTTAGGGTTGCCAAGGGTTACCTCTATGCATTCACATTTCTCTGGAAAATGAAAGTCAAACAGATAACAAGATTAATACACATAATTTCACCGTGAAGTATAGATTGTTAGATGAAAGCAGCCTTATTTGCATCTATGTGGGCCGATGAGCACGCAGAGTGTTTGGCGTGATGTGACCTGTGACTCACCGGAGTGGTGCAGTGCAGAGAAAAGCTCCTCTACCCTAAAGAGTGCCGTCTCACTATATTTGCTGCTGTGTCCCATGTGGCCACTGGCTGTATAGAAGACCTCCACATCTGAGCTGTGCCGCAGAGGTAAAACCAGTCAGAGCCAGTTAATAACCCAGTATGCTCTCAAACTCCCCAGCATAAATCACCTGATTTATTTCCATTAATACATATGGTTGAGTCTTGGCTCTTACCCAGAAATGCAGTCACCAGTGTAGGGGTCACAGTCCCCCGTGCAGTCACACGGACGGCAGCCGTATTCATTAAGCCCCCAGTATCCCGTCGTGCAGCTGTCACAGTAGGAGCCTCCGACACCGGGCTTACAAGTGCACTCCCCGGTGTTAGGGTTGCAGAGAGTGCTGCCACCTGAGTGGACTGAGCCGACAGGGTGGCAAGAACAGGCTGTGCAGGAGAGAGTGACAGAACAAGAGAACTGCGTGTTAACATCTCTGTAGCAAACACTTCTGAACTTCCACATCAGCTGTATTTTATCATTGCACTCGTTACAAGCGACAAGTCGGAAGTATGTTATGTAGTCAGTGTGCTTTGAGCAGATGCAGCAAAAACAAACAGTGAAGGACTCCCTCGGCTCGCTGTCTGAAGGCTCGTTGACATGACAGATTGATTTTTTTTTTCATTTCTAGTTTGTGTAAGAAAGAATGTTGCAGAATGCTTGGAAGGATTGAAGGGCAACAATGGGGAAAAACGTGGAGACATTCCTCCACTGTTTGCAATTACAGCCACACTCTGAAACCTCGAATGCAACTTAAGCAAGAATTACAGAGACTCCTGTTAAGGAGCGGGCTGGAAGTCTGCTTAGTGTCTCATCAGTGACTTAGGAAGGTGCTGGAGCAAAATCCCCTTATCAAGGAGATCAATGTGCTTTAATCCAGAGGGTAAAAAAGAAAAATCAAAACCCTCCAAATAGCAAATTCTGCAACTCTTAGTTGGACTTTTCAGCTGGCGTTGCTCCAAATAGAGTTTAAAGTTTTGGTTTAAGGCCAAAAAACAAAGACACACTGTGGGGTCTTACCTTTGCAGGAGTCAGGTGCCATTTTTGGTCGGCTGGGATCTCTGTAAAAGCCCTTCTTACAGCTCTGGCAGTGACGGCCCTCCGTGTTGTGGCGGCAGTCGTCGCACACCCCGCCACGCCGTCGCCCCGTTGCGAGCCACAGCCCTCGACTGAAGTGACAGCTCCTGGCGTGGCTGTTACACTTGCACTCTTTGTTCAGACGAGCGTGGGAAAAGAAAAGAAACATTCAAGTGTGACGCTTTAATCAGCTCACCTCTCAACTTTGAACCCCAGTGACACTCTTTAAGCGGTGCATCAGCATCTAAAAGGTCTGCGTGTGATTTATGACGCTAAATTAATTTTCCCGATAAGCCAACGAGCCGCGTGTCCTACGATGCATCTCACTCTCTCGCCCCATCACTCACTCTGACACTCGTGCGCCGTCCCCGTGATGCCGTTGGCGGCCTGCCAGGGTTGATCGTTGTAGAGAGGTGCGCAGCGCTCGCAGTGCTCGCCGGCCGTGTTATGTCTGCAGGCACACTTGCCGTGGACCTGCCGGACAAACGCACCAGACAGAGAGAATTTAACAGTTATTGAGCGTTTTATTGTATCTGCATGCACTAAAGGAACATCGCTTAGAGATCAGTTATGACTTCATGTGTCATGTGACCAATTTGAAATTGTTAATTTAGCTGTTTATAGTTAATTATACACAATAATAGCCATTTTAAATAAATGTGTATTTTGGAGTCATTGTTGATCCATTTTCTAAAATTGATGCTGCACATAAACAACCATGCACATTGTAATAAGCACCTAATGTACTTATAACCAACCTCCTTCTTAAGTATCGCAACATAGTGGCATCTAAATGCACGCTGACAGTGTTTACACACTGTGCAACATGTCTACACCTCTTAGGCTGTGTTGGCAATAAACTATTGTTTCTATACTCCACTTACAGTTAAGAGAATAACATGACTGAGACTATGGGCTGTTAAAGTATTAGGCCGAATACCATAATTAAGGTTTCCACCCCCTTAAATCCCTGTAATGGTAGGTAAAGCTGTGGCTTAATATTCAGTCTTCACTGCAGCCCTCCACTTCAGCAGCACATACCAGCACACAGCTGGGTAACGAGGGAGTGGTGGGAACAAAACCCCAAACCCAAACCACATCACAAACCTCGAGACAAACTGGGGGCATCAGCAGATTTCAACGTGACACAACATTTGAGTACATTCTCACAAGGGGGCATTTTTGTTAGTGGGTTGTCATGTACCTGCAAACCGTTTCACAAACTCAAGCTCAATGAGTGCTCACCATGTTGCTGATGTTCTGTGTGCCGGAAAGGTGGGCACGGGCCGGTTCGCAGTGGTCGGCGTGTCCATTGCAAAGGCAGCTGCCTTTGACTATAAAATCATAGATGGCGTAATGATCCGTGGGGAGGGCAGAGGCACCAGGATGCTTGGCCTGGCAGGGGCACGGCTGATTCTGCAGCAGACGGACTCTCAGGTTGGTGACCATGAGCTGGTCCTGAGCAGCCGGGCCATAGGGATCCACTGAGTGCCAGGGCGACAAGGCTCGGTAGATCACCTGGAGGATGAAGGGCAGCACATGTGAAAACCTCCAAAAACCTCTCTAACAAGTATTAAAAAAACAATCTTAGATGCACTGACGGATCATGACCAAACATAAATTAAGTTTGTAAAAGCAGGCACCAGCCTGGATTTCCTCACACGCTTGTGCTACAGCTGCTGTTACAGCAATACATGAGTAGCTTAAATGTGAACATCAGTGTATGGTTCTTCTTCTCCCTCGTTACATTTTGTTAAATGTTGATTGTTTAGACGAATAATCTCAGCCCGCCTCTGAATTCTAAGAACAGGGATGAAAACTGTGAGTCACACAGAGGAGAAGGAAGTTATCACAGGCTCAAAACATTCACTTTTAATATCTATGGACCAAGTCTGTGTATAAAATACACTATATACTACAATATCCTCTCCAAATGGCCTTTCCTTTCCAGCCCATACAGATTATTTTTAAACATGTTGAGCCAACTGGAAGTGAATTATATGTTTTTCTGGAAGCATACTTGAATTTTGTCACTTTTCCTTCAAAACCCACACAGTCACCTGCTGTTTAAACCATCTGTTTGCAAGGGGCACGCTTGCAGAAACCATTTGAGGGAGTGGAACTAAAGGACAGCAAACAAACTGAGAGCTCGTACCGAGGCCCAGCATGAGACAATGAGAACTCTAGAGAACCTCAAGAATAGAAATATGAAGCTGAAAATGAGGGAGTGATTACTTTGCTAAGGTTTGTACAAGTCATGAGCATGAGAGAGACTTGTTGCTGTGTCAGAATGGTTGTGCAACACTGTGGCACCACGCACTTGGTAAATATACAGAATCTGATGTGCAATCTGAAAAGGCTGATTTATAAGGAGCACGTTTTACTTCATCTCTTTACCAAAAACAAACAACAACAAAAAACAAGGTTGACTCTAAATATTCATTTCAACAATTAACATTTCAGGGCTTCTTTGAGTGTTAGCAGAAGAAGGGACGCTAATTATAAAGGATGAGAAGCAGAGCTCACATACTGGCAACACACACACTTCAGGCAAATGCACTGCAATTATGAGATCAGCCATATATTCATTGTGTTATCCAACCAGAACCTCCCAACATGTTCTTAGGCAAATTTAGAGCAAAACAAATCTTTACTCTGTCCAGCGAGAGTCGATCTGTGAATGAAACATAGCTGGTGGTAAGGCAGCATATGGCTTGTGTGTGTAAAAAAAAAAAGTGTCAAAATGAACTCTGATATTGTAGCTGTGCATATCACAGCAGCTTGAGGCCTTGAAGGCACGGCCCATGAGAGGGAGATTAGTTTACAAAGCTTGGTCAACTGTTTGGTTGGTAGTTTGTGTGATAGCAGCTAATAAAGTGCCAATAAATAAATCACAAAGGTGAAGCAGTTGCTGTGAAGTGCTGGGATGTCTGGCAGCACTGATGTGATCCCTGTCATATCTCAGAAATGACACTCCAGATCTGCCCTCCAGATCTCTGTCTGAGCTACAGTACATCACTCTTCTCCCCTTTTCAAGGCTTATTTCAAAATGATTCGACTTCAGATGACTTGTTTGATTAGATATGTAAATCCGAAAAGTTCCATAACTCCATAAGCACATAACTCAGATTTCAGGACAACACTCACCTCTCCTCTGCTACAAGGATAAGCTCCTGAATACTTGGAGGTGCAAGTTGCCCCACCCTCGCCAACTGGTGACCCCTCCACCAGGCCAAACGTCTCGTCGCAGTTTCTGGCAAAATATCTGAGGGTCTTCCATGTGCGTCCACGGTCCTGGGAGCGCTCCAGCACCATGGCAGCAGGGCGTGGGGAGCGGAACACCAGGATCAAATGGGTGAAGAGGAACTCCGTCTCCAGATCCAGCTGGAGCGTCTCCTCCTTTACCCCCTCCGCAGATTGCCACCAGGTGTCAGGGTGGCGGAAAGAGGAGTCGCTCATGGCAGATGGAGGGTGCTCCTGGCTGGGGATGGCAGAGTTACACCGGCTGCACGTTGCCGCCGAGCAAGACCCCCTGCTGCTGCGGGGGGCGGAGGTCTGTCTGTAGAAGCAGAAGGGCTCCGAGGAGTTGAAGCCGCACACCGACCGAGTGCTCAGCACTCTACCCAGGGCCAAGTTGCCCATGCGGGGGTTGCAGGCTCGTCCAGAACAGCGGTGATCCCTGGCTTTAGACGTTACTGGGGAGAGAAAGTGTGTGTTTACTTTTGGGATATTAGTAATTGGAGATCCAGCTAGCATTTTCCAACAGTTAAACAACTTTCTTAAATGACACTGAAAAGAAACACCAAGCAGGTTCATACTCACCGGCTAACAGAGGAGAGGATGCGCTCACCGGGAAAATGAGCAACAGAATCCACAGCCTCATCCTGACTGCGCTGTAAGTCTGCATAAGGTAAAACAAGGCAAGAAGGCGCATTCAAGTGCTTCATCTAAGGATGCCCATTTGCTAATAACGTCCTTTCCCTGTTATAAAACTGCTACAACAGACATTTAGAAATGCTGAGTTTAATTCCGCCTTTTGTCGTGTTTAAATCCTCTGCAGGCTTAGCTTGGACTAGTTCATCCCAATCCTCGGCACGCATTATTCTTCAATTATTTCCACTCCACCCCTCAGGATTCAACTTTGCTGTGGAGAGTTTTCATTGACATTTGGGAATATGAAGAGATTAGCACCGCCCTCTTCTGGTCCTTTCCAGACCACTCCCACTCCCACTAAAATCTGAAAACACCAAAAGTATTCCGGGAAGACCTTATGACGTAAACGCTTTAAAGATGATAGTGTTGGAAAAAATGATGAAGCGAGGTGATTATACTGAAATATACAGGCTTCTATTTTTACTTCTAATAATCATCCAACACAGTTCTAATAATCTTTTCTTTTTTTTATTTGTGTGCTCTATTTGTTTTCATGTTTAATTTTATAATATGAAGTTGGTTGTAATGATCCTCAGTGCAAACACATTAGCTTATCCTATAAAGAGAATACACAGCAAGTAAAATGAGACAGAGGGCACCATGGCTGTAGCTAAAGGGAAGGGTATGAGGTGGCACTATAAACTGTAAATCAAAGAAGGGAGTAGCCATCATGACATCACTGACTGGTCAGTGTAGTCCAGTGTTGGGATAGTTAGCCCCCCCCAAAAAGCAATGCATTGCACATTCCTTTATTTTGCCCTGGAGGAAATAAACTGTTACACTACTCGTCATTTTACTTTTCCGTGTCCCTGTCATGTCCTGAAATGCCTCATCAGTTCACAATATAAAACTTAGGTTAAAGTCCCTATCGTCCTGAGCACATATAAACACACACACACACACAC